TTTTTGTTTTTTTAATTGAAACTCTTGTCCAGAGTTTGCCAAATAGACTTTTTGGGTAACTTTTGACCAACTTGGGAGGGTGGGATTCTGATCATAGTAATGGAAAGTTAATTCTCATAATTGTTAATAAAAGAGTAGCTTCTCCTTGGTCACAAGATCTGATGTTTTGGCCACCAGGCTATACTTGGGAGCTGCCACAATCTCCTTCAAGACACATGGAAGGAGTGTGGGAAGAGTTTCCGTCCGTTGTTGCGTCTGCAACGACTAGGAGCTTTGTGCAGCTCCGACTTCATTTGCTTCCTACAAAAAAAATCAACCGTGGTCTTTGTGGGATCCTTTTGCATCTTGTCTTCTGACCAGCTGGCAAACATCTAACCTTGTGGGACTTTGCAAAGGAGCATGTCTGTGTGACAATGGCATCGTGGAAGGGACTCTACATCAATGTGGATGCACCTGAACATGCGACGACGGAGGAGGAGGAGCCAAGGGACCATGAGCCAAAAGGTCAGCCAGGTATGTATGTTCACAGCAGCGCAGAGCATGATCGCAAATGGGACACAAATGGGGCTGCTGCAGAAAGTTCAGGTCTTTGCGGCCCCAGTGCTACAATTACTATTAGTATTCTCATCATCATCATCATCATCATCATCATCATCATCATCACAATTCCCATATATCACTGAATGTAATTAACGGATGTTGTTTATCTGTTGTTATCTGTTTTATTATTATTATTATTATTATTATTATTATTATTATTATTATTATTGCAATCCCCATGTATCACTAAATCTAATTAACTGATGGTGTTTATCTGTTGTTATCTGTTAATAATAATAATAATAATTATTGTTATTATTGCAATTCCCATGTATCACTAAATGTAATTAACTGATGGTGTTTATCTGTTGTTATCTGTTAATAATAATAATAGTAATAATTATTATTGCAATTCCCATGTATCACTAAATGTAATTAACCAATGGTGTTTATCTGTTAGTATCTGTTTATTATTATTATTATTATTATTATTATTATTATTATTATTATTGCAATCCCCATGTATCACTAAATGTAATTAACTGATGGCATTTCTCTGTTAATTATTGTTGTTCCCTTCCTTGATCCATGGGACAAGCGGGTAAGAAATCATCATCATCATCATCATTCCCATATATCACTGAATGTAATTAACTGATGTTGTTTATCTGTTATCTGTTTATTATTATTATTATTATTATTATTATTATTATTATTGCAATTCCCATTTATCACTGAATGTAATTAACTGATGGTGTTTATCTGTTATCTGTTAATAATAATAATTATTATTATTATTGCAATTCCCATGTATCACTGAATGTAATTAACTGATGGTGTTTATCTGTTATCTGTTAATAATAATAATAATTATTATTATTGCAATTCCCATGTATCACTGAATGTAATTAACTGATGGTGTTTATCTGTTAATTGCTGTTGTTCCCTGCCTTGATTCATGGGATACACATCATCATCATCACCATCATCATTTCTTACCTGTCTCTCTCATGAATTGAGAAAACGTGTGTGTATCTTATTTGTCCTTTTAAATTGATGTGTATTTTAACTGATGTGTTTTAATGGATGTCATTTATCTGCCAATTGTTGTTGTTCCCCACCTCGATTCATGGGGAGAGGCAGGCAAGAAATTATTATTATTATTATTATTATTATTATTATTATTATTATTATTATTACTAGTGCAATTAACAGATAAAACAATATATATGGGACTTGATGATGATGATGATGAGCAACAATAATAATATTTACTTGCCTATTGCCATGGATCAAGGTGGGAAACAACAATGAATAGATAAGCACCATCCGTTAAAACACATCAGTTAAAATATCCATCAATTTAAAAGAGCAAATAATATATAAACATATCAAAGCAATCCACATTTAAAATCCATCATTTAAACTTCACAATTTAAAAATCATCTGGATAAGCAGGTATTGCTAGTGAAATCTGGCAACAAGCCACTAAATGCACCACCGTCGATGGGGAAAGAAATGAAATTAACTATGATACTATAGTCACAAGACAGTGAATAGTATAGCTATTCAAGTATCACAGTAAATATTATTTTAAAGTTGATGTAGGTATGTGTATGAAAAAACACCTATATTATTAAATGTAATTAAATTATCACCTTAAATTTTATACATTTAAATGTATAATAATAATAATAATAATAATAATAATTTGTACCCCGCCCCTCTGTTAAAATAATTGAGGCGGCTTACAGCAGTTAAAAATTACATCAATACAGTCTAAAAAACCCAAACCCCCACCCTCCGCCATAAAAACTTATTAAACTAACGTCTGTTAAAATCCAGCTAAATCGTAAAATAACATAGAATAAACAATAAATGCTACATGAGAAGCCCAGCATGGCATAGTGCTTTGAGTGTTGGACTAGACTCTGGAGACCAGGGTTTGAATCCCCACTAAGCCATGAAAACCCTCTGGTTGACCTTGGGCAAGTCACACTCTCTCAGCCTCAGGGGAAGGCAAAGGCAAACCCTTTCTGAGCAAATCTTGCCAAGAAAACCCCACGATAGGGTCGCCTTAGGGTTGCCATAAGTCCAGAAAGACTTGAAGGCAGACACCACAACACCATCAAGGATTCTGAGAAAGCAATTCCAGAATATTGGATTGTCCTCCTGGCTCTTGGGACATCTTGGACTACAATACCCATCATCTATCAACACTAGCCTTGCTGGCTGGGGCTGATGACAGATGCAGTCCAACGCCTTCTGGAGCCCTCAAGGAGGGCCAACCCTGTTTTATATCATAAGGGTAGGATGACCGCACACCCTCCTTTTCCAGGACATGTCCTACATTTCAACCTTCTATCCAGGAGGAATCCCAAAATGTCCTAATCCAACAATCACACCATTACACCAAGCTGGCCTGATCCTGTCATGCTACACAGTTATAATGCTATCATTCTGCTTTAACCATCATGAGGACATTCTATGAAATCCTGGGATTCACAGTTCAAGAAGGGACATTTTCAGACCAAACTACAAACTCCAGGATCCCACGGCAGCTAAAGGGAATCATAGGGCTATAATTGTGTGAGGTGACTGACTCAGAGTGCCTCATAACTCATGTTTTTGTCTCATCCTTCCTTCGTGAAACACTCACAGTGGTTAGTGGTTTGAGCTGTGGACTAGGACTCTGGGGACCAGAGTTCGAATCCCCACTCAGCCATGGAAACCCACTGGGTGACCTGTGGCAAGCCACACTCTCTCAGCCTCAGAGGAAAGCAAAGGCAAACGTCTCTAAATACATCTTGCTATGCTAGTTTCCCCTTGTGTGTTTGTTGTGTTGCCTTCAAGTCATTTCCCACTTATGGCAAACTTAAGGCAACCCTAGGATGGGCTTTTCTCGGGAAGATTTGTTCAGAGGAGGTTTGCCATTGCTATCCCCTGAGGCTGAGAGAGTGTGACTTGCCCAAGGTCACCCAGTGGGTTTCATGACCAAGCTGGGAATTGAACCCGGGTCTCCAGAATTGTAGTCCAATGGTCAAAGCACTACACCACACTGGCTCTCTTACGGCCACTGTAAGTCACAGTGCTATTCTACTAACATAGGTGCATGCATCCACATCCACTTTCTTAATGGCATTATCTCTTCTTCATAGCAGGCTCCAAGGAGAAACCGGATGAAGACAGTTTGTATGAAGCTGTTGACCCTGCAACTAGACTGGAAGTAAAGCCTAGAGAGCAAGTCCCTCCAGAGTGGTCTCCAGGTATGTGGGAACCAAGATCCCAAGGGATCCGCAGGTAGGACTTTATCACACGGGGGAAATCCCGTGCAGAAACAGGATTTAAAAGGTAGGGAAAACCCACAAAAGTGGGTAGATTTTCACATGCATCGCTTTTAAAGTGTGCTTAATCCAAATGGAAAGTAGTCAAAAGCCGCTTCTTTTTACTTTTGGGATTTTCCAAAAGTAAAAAGAAGCGGCTTTATGACTACTTTCCGTTCAGGTTAAGCATACTTTAACAGCGACGCTATCTGAAAATCTACCCGCTTTTGCGGGTTTTTTCCTATTTAAAACCCCGTTTCTGTTTCCCCGAAAGTTAGCGTTATTGTGTTAAGCCTTATTGGTAAGAATATAATCTTGATGTAAGAGAATCGTAGAAAAATTTAGTTATTGTGATTAATTAGATAGATAACACCTCCGCACAGCTTAAGAAGTATGTTTTGTCTATATTGTAAGTAAGTAATTTTTTGGTCGTTATGTACTTGTATGATTTTAATGTTGTATGTTCTATGTTTTATGATCAACGTTTGTATGTTATATGTGTTAAGTCATAATATGTGTGTCTTCCCCCCTTTTTTTTTAACTTTTTTCAATAAAATTATTTAAAAAATAAAATAAAACCCCGTTTCTGCACGGGATTTCCTCCTTGTGATCAAGTCCTTAGTCAGTCATCTACATGCATGCAAATATGCATGCACAATGTTCCCTAACACTATTTTTTTAGTCAGTTGTCTGCCAACAAGAAACTACGTAGTTACGTAACCGCTAAGAAAACTACACAAAAGTTTCTACATTTTGATTGCAGCCTGAAGAAGATGGAGGAAGTGGGGACATTCTTTTCAACACTTTTTAGATTTCACAGGATTGAAAACGTTCTGCAGGTAAAGGATGGCAGAGAGAGAGGAAACAATTCTTTAGAGAACATATATACAGTGGGCTCTCTGTATCCAATGGAGATTGGTTCCAGGAAACACCCCCCAAAAAAATCCATGGATTCTCAAGTCCTGTTATATACAACAGCACAGTAAAATGGTGTCCCTTACGTAACACGGTGAACAGCAAGGTTTGCTTTTTGGAGAGGAAATTCCAAAAAGTTGGTTGAATCTGTGGATGCAGAATCTGCAGGATGTGGAGGACCGATTGTACTGAGCTGATATATGAAACAATTGTACAAAAATATTGGGAGATGGTGAAGCGTGAAAATTGCATTAAATGCTGTGGGAATTTTGCCCACAGTCATTTTGCTTCTGCAAGTAGTGGTTTGAGTGTTGGACTCTGACTCTGGAGACCAGGGTTCGACTCCCAGCTCAGGACTTTATCAAATGGGGGAAATCCCATGCAGAAACGGGGTTTTAAATTGGGGGAAAACTCCTGCAAAAGTGGGTAGATTTTCAGATGGCGTCGCTGTTAAAGTGTGGTTAGCCCAAACGGAAAGAAGTCAAAAGCCGCTTCTTTTTACTTTTGGAAAATCTCAAAAATAAAAAGGAGTAGCTTTTGATTACTTTTTGTTTGGATTAACCACACTTTAACAGCGATGTGCGTGAGAAATCTACCCACTTTTGCGAGGATTTTTCTATTTAAAACCCTGTTTCTGCACACTCCATAGTCACGAAATGCCCTGGGTGACCTTGGGCAAGTCACACTCTTTCAGCCTTAGAGAAAGGTAATGGCAAACCTTTTCTGAAATCTTGCCTAGAAAACCCCATGATAGGTTCACCTTAGGGTCGCTGTATGTCAGAAACAACTTGAAGGCACACAACAACAAATCGTAATGAGTGTAGTGATTTGAGTATTAGACAATGGGAGACCAGAGTTTGAATCCCTGCTTGGCTTTGGAAACCCACTGAGTGACCTTGGGCAAGTCACACACTCTCAGCCCCACAAAACTCCATAACAGATTTGCCTTAGGGTTGCCATAAGTCAGAAATGACTTGAAGGCACACAACAGCAAAAAATAATAATTTGAAACCTATGCATACTTTGCTCAATGCCCAGTTAGATCCTACTGTAATGAATTGGGAAACAACAAGGAGGAGAGACCCAGAACAAAATGTTGCACCATCACTCAGCCTTGTCTTTTTTTGTGTGAATACGATATGGGGTTAATTTAAATATTGCTGCATAATTGTGATGCAAATAACACAATACATTCTTAATAGCAAAAAAAGCATCAAGTCTGGAGAGCTAGAACATAATTATGCATGTATGATGCCAATGAGGCTGGAGAGGCAGCTGCTTCAGAATGACATTCAGGCAGAATGACTTTCTCTTCTTCTCTTCCCAGCCAGGAAGCCAATGTATTCGCGCAAGGTGGTTATGCTCACTGGTGCTGCTCTGCTGGCCGTATCTGTGTTCCTGAATGTGCTGCTGCTTACAATGGGAACTGTGCACTGTACGTAGCCTGCTGGATCTCCAAATGGCTAATGGGGTTCATCAACTATTCAGGGAACTGCTCCAGCTTTATCTGAATATAATATAGGTGGCCTGGATTTTAGGTTCAGAGCTGTAGCTCAAAGGTGGGACACACATGCTTTGCATGCAAAAGATTCCTGTCCTGTGCCTAGATTAATAACTCCTGCTGTTGTTGGACTTGAACTCCCAGCATCCTTTACCTTTGGCTATGCTGGCTAGCAGTGATGTGTAGACTCCAGTTGATTGACTCAGATCCAAGTCAGAGTCAAGTCTCTTCACTGACTTGACTTGGACTCAACTTTGCAATAAATGATACAATGACTTGACTCGAGACTTGTATATCTTTTTTTAAAATTTTTCATACTTTATTGTTTTCACAAACATTTAAAAAAACATAATTCTTCAACAGATATTTATAAAATGGGATTATATACCTATATTCCCCAAAAAACAATACTCCATAAACTATGACTTTCCCCGTCCCCCCAATATCGTGCCTCATAAATAAGTAGCTATCACATTCACTTATTATTCTTATGAAAGTTCTCATTAATATTGAATTGCATAAAGACTAATCAAATCAAATTCATTTCTTTTCCAAGCTATTCCATTATCTCATTCTTCTTTTTTTCTCTATCCTGCACCTTATGACCACCTTAACTTACACTAATTCAAGATTGGGAACCATTCCTCCTCTATTTCATTTATGATTTAAGCAACAGGTTAATTTATCCATCTCTACCATTTCCAAGAATTTCATTAACCAATCATCCAACAATGGCATAGTATGACTTTTCCAAAATTGTGCTAATGTCAATCTTGCCACTGTTGTTAAGTATAACATAATGCACCAATGTTTTCTTTCAATCAATGGTGGAATTTTGTTCAACATATATTTAATAAATAGATATCTGGTCTTAATTAGAATTTTATATTCAACCTTTGTCCAATCGTCCTGTGAATTTGTTTCCAATACATCTTAAGTTTGGGACAACACTACCATATATGTAACCATGAACCCACCGCCGATTGACATTTCTAACATACATTCAGACTGGTTTTATATATCTTTGCAATTTTATTGGGGGGTCAAATACCATTTCTGTACCATCTTCCAATAATTTTCCTTTAAATTTTGTGATTTAGTAAATTTATTTGTCTTATTTCTAGCATATTTCCAACTTTCTAAATTTATAATATAGCCACAATCTGAGGCCCAGTTAATCATCACATTCTATATTACATCTGCTTCTTGCTCTAAGTCTTGTAGTATTCTATACAGTTTAGCTGTTTTTTTAGGTTATTTACTAAACAATATCTTGTCTAAGGCTAACAAATCTCCAAATTCAAACATCTTATAATCCATTTTAAATCTTTCTTTTAGTTGCAAATATAGGAACCAGTGTATTTTTGGATCTAATTGCATCAGCTCTTCTATTGATTTCAGTTCACATTTGTTGTCTTTAAACTTATATAAGATACCTTTGTAACTCAACCATGTATTGAGAGCCAATAAATGCCTCTTGCAGTAAAACCAACAATGGGATCTGCCTATGTATCTTCTTTTTAACTTTCTTCTAAATTTGCAAAAGAAATCTCTTAATAATATGATGGCAAATTCACTGTGGGCCGCTGCTTTGTCATACCATACATAGGCATGCCACCCGAATCTATTATCGGAACCTTCCAAATTAAGTAGCTTAACATTATCAAGAGCAATGTATTCAGAAATCCAGTTTATTACGTTAGCTTGGTAATATAGGTTCAGGTCAGGCACTCCTTTGCCCCCTTCCTTTTTTTATCATGTCATGGTCTTCCAATTTACACATGGTTTTCCAAACAAAAATTTTTATATCCTTCTGCCATTCTTTCAAAGGGGTATCATTGTTTAAGACTGGTATAGTTTGGAATAAAAATTAATCTGAGGCAAAACCATCATTTTGATAGCTTCTATTTAGCCAAATAATGACATATGTAATTTGTTCCAAGCAGCTAGTTCTTTTTAATCTCCTTCCATTTGATTTTGTAATTGTTATCAAAAAGTTGTGTACCATATTTTGATTTGTCAACCATATTCCTAAATATTTGACCTTTTTTTTAAATCTGACATTGTGATGTTTTTTTCTATCAACTGCTCCTCATTCTTCGATAATTTTTTTGTCAAAATCGATGTCTTAGTCCTATTAATTTTAAAGCCAGAAACTTTCCCAAAATCTTCTATAATGATAAAAAGATTCTCTATTTGATTACATGGTTCATCCAACATGATCACTAGATCATCAGCAAAGGCCTTTAATTTATAATCAATTCCTTTTATTTTTACACCACTAATTTCTTTTTTCTGTCCTTATCCCATTGGCCAATATTTCT